AACAGCTGCTGCAGATGGCGTGGACGCAGCGTCAGCAACAATCCAACCCAGCAGCACCACCAGCAGCAGCACCAGCAGCAGCAGCAGCAGCAGCAGCTGCTGCTGCAGTTACAGCAGCAACAGCAGCAACAGCAAAAGCAGCAACAACAGCAGCAACAGCAGCAGCAGCAAATGGGGATACTTAGTAAGAGTCCTGGAGGAACCGCAGCAGCAAAAAGTGCAGCAGCTGCAAAGGCACCGGCGGCAGCAAAACCAGCAGCAGCAGCAAAACCAGCAGCAGCAGCAAAACCAGCAGCAGCAGCAAAACCTGCAGCAGCAGCAAAGAAGAATGTGCTCTCCAAGCCACAGTTTACTGCAGCAAAGCCGCCACAGCTTGCTGCTGCTGCTGCTGCATCTCCCGCTGCTGCTGTGAAGAAAGCAGCAGCAAAACCAGCACCAGCAGCAAAGCTAGCAGCAGCAGCAGCAAAACCAGCAGCGGCAGTAACAGCAAAACCAGCAGCAGCAGCAGCTAAACCAGCAGCAGTAGGAGCAGCAAAACCAGCAGCACCGGCAGCGAAGCCTGCCGCAGCAGCAGCAGCAAAACCAGCAGCAGCAGCAAAACCAGCAGCAGCGCCAGCAGCAAAACCAGCAGCAGCGCCAGCAGCAAAGCCTGCAGCGGCAGCAACAGCAAAACCAGCACCAGCAGCAGCAAAACCAGCAGCAGCAGCAGTAGCAAAACCAACAGCAGCAGCAGCAGCAAAACCTGCAGCAGCAGCAGCGAAACCAGCAGCAGCGGCAGCAGCAAAACCGGCAGCAGCAACAGCAGCAAAGCCAACAGCAGCAGCAGCAAAGCCGACGGGCGTTGTAGCAAAATTAGTATCAGCAGCAGCAAAGCCAGCAGCAGCAACAGCAGCAAAGCCAGCAGCAGCAACAGCAGCAAAGCCAGCAGCAGGAGCTGCTGCTGCAAAACCAGCAGCAGGAGCAGCAAAATTTGCATCGATGAAGGCGAAATCAGATGCAGCAGCAACAGCAGCAAAACCAGCATCAGCAGCAGCACCAGCAGAGGCTGCTGCTGCTCCCGAGGCAGCAGAAGCAGCAGCAACAGAAGCAGCAGCAGCAGAAGCAGGAGCAAAGAAAGCTGCAACGCTGAACCCATTGGTGATGATGCGTCCGCCGCTGCTGCTGCTGCTGCAGAGTGTTGAGAGGAAAATAAAGGAAGAAGCAGCAGCAGCAGCAGCAGCAGCAGCAGCAGCAAAACCAGTAGCAGTAGAGTCATTCAAGACAGTGCTGCAGCAGCAAATAGACGGCAGCAAACAACAAGAAGCCAGCGATAATAATAAAGATAAAGCAGAAAATAATAATAATAATAATAATAATAATAATAATAATAATGAAAGCTGTCTGCAGCAATACTTTTGCTGCAGCCCTCTGCTGCTGCTGCTTGACGCAATACGAAAAGATTTAGGTGAGGAGACAGCCAAATTAATTATTTGTTTGTTTATCTTTTATTATTTATTTATTTGTTTATCTTTTATTATTTATTTATTTATTTGTTTACCTTTTATTACTTATTTATTTAGTTGTTTATTTATTATTAATTTTTTATTTATTTATTTGTTTATTTGTTTATTACTATTTATTTATTTGTTTATTCGCTTAATTTTTATTTGTTTATTGTTTATTTGTTTATTTGTTTGTTTATCCTTTGTTTATTATTTATTTATTTATTTATTTATTTTTATTTTTTATTTATTTGTTTATTATTTGTTCATCATTTATTTATTATTTATTTATTTATATTTGTATTTTGTTTGTATTGTTTGTTTATGTTTTGCATGCACTTTGCATGCGTTGTGCATGCGTTGTGCATGCGTTTTGCATACATTTTTCATACATTTTGCATGCGTTTTGCATGCGTTTTGCATGCGTTTTGTTGTATTGAACAGATGTAGAGCTCTCTTGGCGATGGGAAGAAGAATACAAACATTTTAATAATAAGACTGCAGCAGCAAGAAGAGCAGCAGGAAGAGCAGCAGCAACAACAGCAGCAGAAGCAGCATCAGAAGCAGAAACTGATGATAATGCAGCGGAGTTTGCTCGAAGGTTTAAACACAAACTGCTGCTGCTGATGCGGCTGCTGCAGCAGCAGCAGCAGGAAAACAACATTCTGCTGCAGCAGCAAATGCTGCTTCTGAGAAGCAAACGAATTGCACTGGGTTTAAATAAAACAAAGAGAGAAGCAGCAATAAACAAATAATAAAACATAAATAATTACAATCCAAACAGCAATTTAGTTTAAATTAAATTAATTAAATTAATTAAATTAATTAAATTTAATTAGAGACAAACTACCAGTTGAGCTGAGGTCTCCTTCAGCAACTGCTGCTGTTGCTACACGAGCAGCAGCAACAGCAGCAGCAACAGCAGCAGCAACAGCAGCACTAATCAGGGCTGCTCTTGCACAACTGCTGCTGCTGCTGCTGCTGCATGCTGTTTTTCTTTCACCTCGAATGCTTTTAATAGCATATTGTCTTTTTACTCTTTACACCTCCAAACCCTAAACCCTAAACCCTAAACCCTAGCGAAGAGCAGCAAACCCCAACAGAGGAGAAAGACGCACACAAACCCTAAACCCTAAACCCTTGCCGGGGTTTCAGAAGCAATCTTCTGTCTAAACAAACCCTGGTGAACGAAACCCTAAACCCTAAACCCTAAAGTGTAGGTTCAGAGGGCTGAGAAGGCCTGGGGTTTAAGTCTTCGAAGTCTAAGAGGGTTTAAGGGTTTAGGGTTTAGGGTTTAGGGTTTAGGGTTTAGGAATAACACAGTAAAAGGTTTCGGGTTTAGCGTTAGGGTTTGCAATTAGATAAGAAGAGTTTGCAGCTTGGATTTTAGTATTGAGGGTTTAGGGTCTAGCGTTTAAGGTCTAGGGTTTAGGGTTTAGGGTTTAGGGTTTAGGGTTTAGGGTTTAGGGTTTAGTGTTACGGAAGCTGTTCATTGGGGGGTTTGTTTGGAGGCGACTTCGCCGAAGAAATTGAACAAATAAATAAACAAAACAACAAAATAAATTAATTAATTAATTTAATTAAAATAAAGAAATTAAAATAAAAATATTTATTGCATTTATAGCAACGAAGAATTCCGTGGGGGCTGCGCTGCTAACTAGCATGCATGCATGCAGCTAGGGTTTAGGGTTTAGGGTTTAGGGTTTAGCAGCAGGGTTTGTTTGTTTGAAGTTAATATAAGAAAGAAGACTCATAAATAAACGCTCTAGCATACTACAATAACTTTGCATGAACGCCAGCCCCTAAACTCTAAACCCTAAACCCTAACAAGCCCTACAAAACCCTAAACCCTAAACCCTAAACCCTAAACCCTAATTAGGGTTATTTTTCTTGCTTTATCTCTCGAGTATATTTTTTTCTTTTTCTTATCTCTCTGCTCTTCCTGAGTTTAACCGCTCAACCCCAAACCAGCACCCCCTTCTCTAAACCCTCTCTTCTAAACCCTAAACCCTAAACCCTAAACCCTAAACCCTAATGGAGTCAAGCGTACGGCGTCTATTTCGAGCCCGACGTACTTGTTGCGAAATTTTGACAGACCGCGGCTATTTGCTGCCTCCGCATGAAAAGAACGAAAACTTCGCAGAGTTTACTCAGCGATTTAATCAAAATGAACAGTCGTAAGCCACCCTAAACCCTAAACCCTAATTAACCCTAATTAACCCTAATTAACCCTAATCAACCCTAATCAACCCTAATTAACCCTAATAGAAGTCTATATCCCTTATAAAGCCAAATAAACTTTTCTTTTAACCTTTGTCGACTCTTATAAACCCTAATTATAAACCCTTATTATAAACCCTTATAAACCCTTATAAACCCTAAACCCTAATAAACCCTAATAAACCCTAATGAACTGTAGGCTAATAGCCGTTTACGCGTTGCTGCACTTTACTTCTACTTCGTTTCTGCATCACTCTATGCTGCTGCTCTTGCTGCTGCTGCTGCTCTTGCTGCTGCTCTTGCTGCTGCTGCTGCTGCTGCAGGCGTTCTCGTATGCTGTTGATTGCTTCGCACAAGGCCGACCCTGAGGCGAAGTTAATTGTTTACTTCGCTGATGAAACAAAAAAAACAGGAGTCAAACCCATCAGAGAGTGAGGGTTTAGGGTTTAGGGTTTAGGGTTTAGGGTTTATGGTTAGGATGTATTGTGAGGGTTTTTTAATCGAGGTTTATTATTAGGGTTTATTATTAGGGTTTATTATTAGGGTTTATTAGGGTCTACTGGGGTTAAGGGTTTAGGGTTTAGGGTTTACTGTGCTTACTGGGATTAAGAGTGTCTAGGGTTTAGAATCCATTAGGCTCTAGAGCCCATTAGGGTTTAGGGTTTAGGGTTTAGGGTTTAGGGTTTAGGGTTTAGGGTTTGCTGCAGGCTGACGGAGCGCATGGAGGAGCGCAATATTCACCGGGCGATTCTCGTGACGCAGAATGTGCTGACGGCATTTGCTAAAGATGTAGCCAAACCCTAAACCCTAAACCCTAAACCCTAAACCCTAAGCCCTAAACCCTAAAACCTAAAGCCATATCAAGAATAAACCCTAAACCCTAATTTATCCCTTAGCCCTAAACCTTAATCAGCAATAAACCCTAAATTGTAGACCCTAGTGAACAATAAATCCTAAACCCTAATAAACCCTAAACCCTAAACCCTAATCAGCAATAAACCCTAAACCACCCTAAACCCTAATACACCCTGTTGAGCCCTAATAAACCCTAATAAATCCTAATAAACCCTTAATAAACCCTAATAAACGCTGATAAACCCTAATAAACCCTAATAAACCCTGATAAACCCTAGTTAACTTTCGGAAGCCCTGAACCTGGAGGGTTGTAAACCCTCGCTTCTGTTTTTGTTTTAGGGTTTTGCCGCTGCTAATCTTCTGCTGCTCATTGTCCTGTACTGCTGCTGCTGCTGCTGCTGCTGCTGCAGGCGATTGCTGAGGCTGCTCCTCGCCACATTATTGAATACTTCATGGAGTCGGAGCTGCTTGTAAACCCTAAACCCTAAACCCTTATTTTAAACCCTAAACCCTTATTTTAAAACCCTAAACCCTCATTCGCGAAACCCTAAACTATAGAAGCTGGACCATCACTCTCAGGTGCTGCAGTTGCTGCTGCTGCTGCTGCTGCTGCTGCTGTGTAGCGGGTTGAAGGCATGCGTTTACGATCTAGGGTTTAGGGTTTACGAGGGATTTGTATGGCTTATGAGGGCTTATTACTGTCGAGGGTTTAGGGTTTAGGGTTTAGGGTTAGTTCGGGTGTATAAGGGTTTAATTAGGGTGTATAAGGGTTGAATTAGGGTTTAGGGTTTAGGGTTTAGGGTTTAGGGTTTGAGTGCAGGTAAACATAACGAAGCATGAATTGGTGCCCAAGCACATCCCCCTAACCCCCGACGAAAAACAACAACTGCTGCAGCGATATAGAGTAAACCCTAAACCCTAAACCCTAAACCCTAATTCAGCTCTAAGCTCTAAACGCTATTTAACCCCTTTAAAACCCTCTAAAACCCTAATAGAAATAATAAACCCTTATATACCCTAATAAACCCTAATAAACCCTAATAAACCCTTATAAATCCTTATAAACCCTAGCAAACCCTAGTAAACCCTTATAAACCCTAAACCCTAAACCCTCCATGCGATGCCTTTTGCTGGCCTGCGGAACCCTTGCGAGAAGACACCGAATGAATGCAAATCCCTCCTTAATACACAACTTTTAGGGTTTAGGGTTTAGGGTTTAGGGTTTGGGGTGTACGCGCAGGTTAAGGAGGCTCAGCTGCCGCGCATTCAAGTGGCCGATCCTGTCTCCCGCTACTTCGGCCTCTCCAGGGGACAGGTGCTGCTGCTGCTGCTGCTGCTGCTGCTGCTGCTGTTGCTTTTGCTGCCGCTGTTGCTGCTGCTGCTTGTGCTTCTGCTGCTTGTTCCGCTGGTGGTGGTGGTGCTGCTTGCGCTGCTGCTGGCTTTGCTTCTGCTGGTGCTGGTTGCTGCTGTTGCTGGTCGCTGCTGTTGCTGCTGCTGCTGCTGCTGCTGCTGCATTTGCTGCAGCAAGTGTGGGGTGTACGTGCAGGTGGTGAAAATAATTCGACCTTCGGAGACAGCAGGGAGATACGTCACCTACAGACTTGTCGTCTGAGCTGCTGCTGCTGCTGCTGCTGCTGCTGCTGCTGTTGCTGCTGTTGCAGCTGCTGCTGCTGTTGCTGTTGTTGTACACGGATGTTGTGCAGCAAAAGCAGCAGCAGCAGCAAACCAACAGCAGTAGTAGCAGCAGCAGCCGCAACAGCCACAGCGAAAGCATCCGCAGCACAAGGAGGAGGAGGAGGAGCAGCAGCAAGAACAACAACAGCAAAAGTAGCAGCAGCAGCAGCAACGGAAGCAGCAAAATGCTGCTTTGTTTGTCTGCCGCTTGAGCCCAGACCCTTTGCTGCTGCTATGCAGCTGCAGCTGCTATGCAGCAGCTATGCAGCTACAGCAGCAGCAACAGCAGCAGCTATGCAGCGGCAGCTGCTGCTGCAGCAGTTGAACAGGTATTACTAATTTGCTTTATTATAATTTATTGACTTGCAATTAATTTTTAGGGTTTTGTTTGTCGCTGGAGCGCAGCAAAATATATTTTTCTTTTTCTTTATTTGTTTATTTGTTTATTTGTCTATTTGTTTATTTATTTGTTTATTTATTTGTTTACTTGTTTATTATTTTATTATTTATAAGTAAATATCTCTACGTCTATTTAATACCTATGGAGGTATATAACCCTACGCATATATATATATATATATTTATATATTTATATATATATGTACTAATATATGTATATGTACTAATATATATATATATATATTTATATCTATATATATATGTACATATTATATATATGTACATATTATATATATATATATATATATATAAGTGCATGCGGTGTATTTAATATATTTGAGTATTCGCGAGTA